GATAAATGGCGGGATTATTAAATAGTGCGATGAAAGACGCTTAATTTTATTTCATGATGATTTTTTTAATAGTGTCCTTGTTAGCAATAGGAACAGTCAGCATCGAAAAAAATGATGTGGAATGGCATTATTTTTATTTACAAGTAATATTACATTTGTAATAGTAATTATACAGAATCATACGTGGCAAAAAATATTTATTTTAACATTAGAAGTCAGAAATGAAGAAAATATATATAAAATATTATGATTTTTATTCACAATACAATCAACACGTATATACCAATTTCGCGTACTGAAATTGGTTTTGGAGGGAAAGATTGTGTTCCCCGTTGTAGGTATGTTCTATCTCATTCTTTTCAAGCATACAATACGACTCGCATATGCACTGAAATTTGGTTTCGCTAAAAGAGGCTCATTTCGCCTCTGTATGTTACTAAGAACTTTATTAACTTATTCTTTATTGATTATTAACTTATTAAACTTATTCTTCTTTTCAAGCATACAATATGACTCGCATATGCACTGAAATTTGGTTTCGCTAAAAGAGGCTCATTTCGCCTCTGTATGTTACTCTATGGTCCCGCTGGTACCAAGAAAGTGGATCTAAGTGACTCCGTGTTAATTAAGCCTGCCGTGGGCCCGATGTCACGGGGTTAATTCTCATTTACCCAGATGTTTGAAAAAAAATGTGTATAAAAGAACGGACGACAGAACAAATTATTCCAATATACGAGGTGCAATAACTTTAATGTTAATTAACAGAATATAAATAATGATTCGTACATTTCTATTGTTTTTAGAATACAAAAGTAAAATGTCCTCGATAGCTGGAAAAGACTTTGTTTTTATTGTTCTAAAATGAAACGAAATGCCTAATATGTTCTATTATAATAGAAAAACTTTATTTAATTTTAACTTTACCCACTCTGAGCTCCATATAACACGAAATTCGTACAACAGGCAACGTATCTTCCGTATTATAAGTAGACGGTCCTACTGTATTATAGCATTATGAAGTAAAGGGACCAAAAAAACGATAGAACTTTCCGACAGACCTAATAAATCAAGCGTGCAGTGTGTACAGCTTATTTTTTGTTGGGCTGAAATTAAGCGAATCCCTTCGACTGCGTAACGAGCATTCCACCCTATTAATCGAGGATTTGCTATAAAACCTCTGGTTTCGAAAATCATCGGTGAAAAGGGAGAAACAACACCATGGGTAAAAACAGAATGAATTGTACACCGTGGCATCCCGAGTGTCACTCGAGTAAAACCATATATGATAGATGAATGACGGTGGTATTGTTTCAGGTTGTCGCCACCGTTGCCCAGGATTACGAGGTCTCTGACATTCAGTGCAGCGGTGCAGGATCAGCCGCCGATCTGCTGACAGCAAAGATCAAAAGGCCAGTCGGCTTCAGAGGGGCGCCGCTCTTTGCCGACGACAGATCCGCCAATCCGCTCACCGACATCCACTGCCAGATCAGGCCAGATCCCAACGATCCTCAGGAAGATAACTACTTCCTGAAGGTGACTGACTTCTCGAAATGTGGCATTCTGAAGAGAAACGTGAGTCGTCCGTCGAGATTTCGTTTGTCCCACTGTTTAAACTTCTCGGACCTGACACGGTCTGTAGGATAGATTCGCAACAATTTAAAATACATGGCGTCTTATGAGACTGTTCACAGCAATGCGAAAAATTTCCCCAAAAATTTATCTATAAAAAATACGAGGTCTGTTCAAAAAATAACCGAACTTTTTTTGTTTAATTTTTTTTATTTAATATACAGCTTATTGGTCTTTGTCTCCTTCAAAGTACTCCCCTCCTCTATTCACACACTTGTTCCAGCGGTGTTTCCACTTTACTATGCAGTCTTGGTAAGCTTCTTTAGGAATATCCTTCAATGCCAGTGACGAATTATTCTTAATGTCATCAACTGAGTCGAAACGCCGTCCTTTCAACACTGATTTTAATTTTGGAAACAAGAAGAAATCGCAGGGAGCAAGGTCTGGGGAGTAGGGAGGCTGGGAGGGGGGACAGTCATCTGAGTTTTGGCACAAAACTGGCGAATTAACAAGGCTGAGTGGGCAGGCGCGTTGTCGTGGCGAAGGAACCATGAATTGTCTCGCCACAACTGTGGTCTCTTTTTGCGAATTTTTTCACGCAACCTTTTCAAAACGCCTTCGTAGTACTGGCGGTTGATTGTTTGACCTTGAGGCAAAAATTCAAAATGCACAACTTCGTTGAAATCGAAAAAAATCTTGACAGAGTGTTCTGGTCGAGGGTCATTTTCAGTTGATTGACGACCATTTTTAAATCTGGTAAACCATTCGTAACACTGCGTACGAGGAAAAGCATCACCTCCGTAAGCTTGCTTCAAAAGTTCAAACGTTTCCGTAAATGTTTTCCCCAGTTTCACGTAAAATTTCAAGTTGCATCGTTGCTCTCGTAAATCAGACATGTAAATGTCTTTACTACTTAACTAAAAATCGCCGTGTACATTGAAACAGCTTGTACTCAAATAGCAATAACTCGGGAACTAAACGAGACATAAAGAATTTGTAAAGCGCATGTTACGCGGAAGGTTATGACAATTGAAGCGTAATTACAAAATTTCGGTTATTTTTTTAACAGACCTCGTATATCGCCGCGAAATATTCGCTGCCGCTGCAACACTGAAATGCGTTGCTATTGTACTTTGTCAAATGTTAACATTTCTGAAAAGAATGAAGTTACAAAACATTGAAACTGTGAACTATCGAATTTCTTTCTTTAACATTTGTTGCTCTATTTTACTCTATTCAAAAATATTCTTTATCTCATTTTTCCTGTATTGAACAACACGATAAACGAAGTTATATTGTCGACAGGGTTTCATTCACCTGCGAATATGGTTTCCTGCTTTTCCCGGCGTCGTAATGCTAGCCGACCAAGAACTGATCTTGATGTGTCGGCCGCCGGAACCCACTTTACTTCGACACAAAGCCGCCGGTTTTGCAGGGACATTGTAAGTAGCCAGTTCACTTTGACCATGTAACTTACTACTTGCTAAGGCATTTTCATAGAATTCTTCGCATGTAACTGACAGACTTTTCAAGCCCTTTTTATTCTATTTTGAAACATATATGAAATGTTAAAAATTAAGAATAATATAAACAATTTAGGTTTCAACCGTTTGACAGCGGCTGTGTCGGATCGCGCTCCTCTTATTCTACTTAAAACGGCGACAACTGTGCTGTAACGAACGTGTTATTGCCCGTTGTCGATTCAATTATTACCACGAAATCAAGACAATCAGATCAGATCAGATCAGATTAGATTTAGAATCAAAATTTAATAAATGTTTTTACTGTCCTTGTTACATTGACGTAAATATTATTGCATTATTGAACAATAACCGAGGAAACCCATAAATATTACGATGGAATCATATTCTGAAGTTAAAATATATGTTCTTAAATAATAAAAGCAGGGCCGTTCCTGGGTTGTTGGCTACCCGGGTGCAAAAACAGTATCACCGGCCTTATTAATTCAATATTATTCAATTAAGTAATTTATATGCAGTGTTTAGTTTTACACATATAATAAAATTTTTAATAGAAGTTTTCTTACTCGAGATACCAGAGAACATAATAGGAGGTCGTCTAGTGCAGCCTTATCAGTGTCTAAAGAATAAATTAACAACAACATAATAAATAATAATCAGAGTTTCTTCGTGTTTGATGACATATTTTCATCCGGTAGCACAATCACGTCTTTCATTCCGAACGTTACGTTCCCCTACATTTCCTATGCTCGATCATAGCAACCACGTGGTGTAGAGGATTTTCAAGTAATTATCCACATAATTACGGTAGCGTGGATAATGAGTATTCCTTAACACGTTTGCTGCCGGAGGCTCCAATCGGAGTCATTTGTCAACGTTTGGCTGTTACCGGTGACTCCGATCAGAGCCACAGCTTATACAGTAAATCCTCGATGAGTGTTCGAAGGCTTTTCGACACTGAACATTAAATATTTCATAAACTAATGGCCATATGTGACTGAAACACATATCATAGACCTTAGAATTCCAAGCTCTAGCAGAGTGCTAAACCTTATTAAAAAGTCAGCATTCCACCGGAACTCCTCTCCTTGTCAGTACTCAGAAACCTTCGAACGCTCATCGAGGATTTACTACATTGCTTTCTTTCCAATCAGTATTAAACTGACACTCAAAGCGACTGTATGTTCATTGTGTAGGCATGTTAGTAGAAAATAATTGTTTGTAGAACTGTTTATAGAAATCGTGTATTACTAGATAGAGCTAATAAAAATATCCTAAAATTAACATCTCTTTTAGTCCGCATGGGGCACGGGTGTCCGGGGTCGTCGAGGAAACCCCGGGTCGTCTGGAGTACGAGGTGGCTCTTTATCGCGAAGCTACGGGGAACGTGTCGGACGCGTCCGGATCGCAGACCGTCGATCAAGCAGTCCCGATCGGCACGAAGCTCCAGCTGAGAGCTCGGATCAGCTCGGAAAGCGCGTGGGGTTACATTAAACTCTTGGAAGTGACTGTCAGCCCCGATCCCGATCAGCCTCACGCACCAGGAAGCGTCGTGCTCGTAAAAGACGGCTGTAGAAATCGAGACTTCGCTTCGATAATCCCTCATCAGCCGGCTCGGTACCGGGAGAGGAAGAACGAAGTTTTTCTCGATTTCGAAGCGTTTCTGCTGAGCTCAATGAGAGAACGATCCACTTTGTGGATACACTCGCAGATTAAAGCCTGCATGGAGCCACAGGATTGCCAACCAGTAAGGACATAATTTGCGACCGAGTCTCGCTATCTACCGCAACAATGACATTTTACACTTTTACAATTAGTCTAATTAACCCAAATAGCACATAATGTCCAATGACGCCTCGTAGAAGGCTTACAGACGCCTCAGACTTAAAACAGCCGTAAAATAGGCGTCTTTAAGGCGTCATGTGGTATCTGGAAATGCATTTAATTATGCTGAAAAGGAGGAGATAAATAATGAAGTGCACTATTCTCGTTTTTAAATGAAATACACCCCGAACTGTTAACACTTAACTGTTTTTGAATAGTTTAAGAAATATGATCTTTAAAAGTAAAAATTCAAACAGCAAACATAAACGTGACTTTCAAAACATTGTATGCACAATCGGGGAAAATGTGGACCAATGAATAAAGAAATTCTTTATCGTATGCTGTAAGCATGGATAAAGAATTTGTCGATATAGACAAAGATGTAGTAATAGCTAAAATTACAAACTTAAACGTGTTCCCACAGGATTTCTGTTTGGACCTGTTTGAGCCATCGGGGCATGGAAAGAGGAGAAAAAGATTAGCAGAAGAGGAGCCGACTATATTTATTTCTAAAGACAGGCGTTCAACAAGAGAATACAATGATTCGACTCCCTTCACAAAGTTTAAAGAAAATATAGAGTACACGGTAATGATGCCTGATGGTAAGTGTCAAAATAAATTCAATGTACAACTTAACATACATAATCTACATTCCTAGTATTATGTGCTACCTATTTCCTCAAGGTATTATCATTGTTGTACTATCAGTTTATATCAATTTGTGGAAAACAAATAATACTATACTAATGTCAATATCCATAGACATTCACAAAGATGAAAGTAGCTGGCAACAGATAAACATAAGCTGCCAATTGATAGTTTACATTTACATAATACTCCAATACAATTGTGCCTCACGATTTTCAAATCCAATTTTCTGGAAACCATAACTTTTAACGTATAAATTCAGTTCCATATTTTTAATTTCTTCTTCCATATAAAATCATCCCCTTCCTTATACGTAGAATTTTCGATCACGCCGAGTATGAAAATTTTGTAAATAGCGAGCATAGGAATAAGTATACTGCGAATATTTATTACAAGTTCACGTTTTTCTGGCCTAATTAAAAAATTTATAAAATGTATAGAAAATAATTTCTTCCATTAATAATATTACTCCATATTAAATACTGTAAATGACGTAAGAACTGTGTCAAAAATTATTAATGTTTTTAATTTAATGTATTTCGTAGATTCCTGTATGCAAGAGATGAATATGTAAATATCCGTTGTATAATAACAAGAACAAATCGAAATACGTAGTAATAAAGAATATAAATAAAACGAAGCATAAGCTTATTCAAATGAAGAAAAAAAATGTTCTCTTGCTATAAAATTAAAATAAATTCGTTACTGGCACAAATAAAAATTTAGAGAAGATCTTATAATATAAATTTTTAAATTTGTATGACGTGACCAATCATAAATTAATACAGCAATACAAGAAGGAAATAGTATACATCTTTTATAAGCGACATCGTTAGGAAACTTTTATACCTAGTTAATGAATTCATTCTCACGAAATTAATCTTATCATTTTCAGATCTATATCAAAAAGTGGCCGCTGGACTTGAAAATAGCTGTGGGAGTTTTCTTTACGTTGCAACCGGATTGGGTGCTCTACTTGCTTTATCAGCCATTATCATGTGCTACTTAACATCGCGTTTACACAATTTATCGTCAACTATACCGCAAAATAAATCAATCGACGAGCTTATACGAGACCGAGCGAGAAAGTATTCTGAGACAACACCTGGATACACTGGTCGATCCACGGTACAATAGGTAAATGTTGCACACTGTGTATTTTTTCTGGCCAAAATCATCGAGCAGGTTATAAGTATATGTATACCGAAAAAAAAATGAGATGATCTAGGGTATACAGGGTGTTTCAGCTAACTTGATCACCTCGAGTAATGACTTAACAGTACACTTTATGAAAATTTTGAGGCGTGGAACTTAAATGGCATCAAGGGGCACATCTTATAAGGTACATGCTTTTTTTTTGGGGTAGAGACATTTTGAAGATGTCAAGGTCACCTTGACTTTTTTTTAACCGTATGACCTATTTTTTTGTATCATAGATCGATAGAGTATCAAATTCTGAGTAAAAATAGGCTGACCTTCACACATCCTAAATCTAATAGTTAATGAGATATTTACAAAATAATCGTTGTATTGAAGTTGAGGGACATGAGTTCGAGCACCTACTTATACAGTGAGTCACAAAAGTATTCGAACACTCCGAAATGAAAAGTTTGACGCTTAAAGAATATGAGTCATATTACGAGTTACAAAATACTTTTATTCCTATGGTAACACATAAGTATTACAACTATGCATGTTAAATTTGAAGTGTGTCCGATAAAGTAAACAATACTTATGAAAGATTTCTTGGAAACATCGGTTAAACAGACACTACGAAAGTGTTCGAACGATGAACATTGTAACACAAAACAAACCTTGAAGTTGACAAAGTGTTAATAAGATTATAAAAGTTATATTAATAATGTGCCCCAAAAAATCAGAAACAAGCATTACTGATAGAAAATTGATAATAAAGTGGCATAATAAAGGCAAAAGCTATAGCGAAATAGCACAATTGTTAGGCAAAAGTAAATCTACCATTTTCTACATAATAAAAAAGTTCGTTTTGGCCGGTCGAAGAAGTTAACGAAAAGAGAAGAAAATACAATTGTGCGTGAAATCAAAAAGGACCTTACAAGATGTGCCTGTTGATGCCATTTAAGTTCCACGCATCAAACTTTCCATAAAGTGTATCGTTAAGTCATTATTCGAGGTGTTCAAGTTAACTTCGAGTCCCTATATGTACAAGAAACATAAACCACCGAAGCAGCTCGAATGTGTTACAAAGAATTGGTTTTCCACATTGATGACTTTTAAGGTCCGTGTTCACATGACAGTAAAAGTCATGACTTTCATTGTCGTGACACTGTACGAAAATAAAAACCAAAATAATTAAACAAAATACAATTAATTATTAATTTTTTTAATGTTAATGAAAATAGTTGCAAGTAATGTCGCGACAACGCGACTTCTAGTTTTCACGACGACGAAAGTCATGACATCTACTGTCATGACCGTAAAAGTCACAATTTACTGTCACGTGAACATGGACATTTACAGTAAATTATTAAACAGTATACACGCACGAAACATACGGTATACATACTATGTATGTAAATAACACATGTACAGGAAGAATCGTTTTAATTTAGTGTTTCCAATAATTTCTTCGTTTCTGATATTGCAATGAAAATGTAGAACATTATTTTTCAACTATTTCTAGTAAATGTAATGATATACTTCCATATTTTTTAAATATTAGGTTACAAATGATCATCTACAATGTAATATAAAGTGAAAGTACAGACACTATACAGGGTGAATCGTTCGCTGCTAGGGTCGAGAAGCAAGCAGCCTGCTTTGTCGTTTAATTGCCGTGACCATAAACGTGTCAACGGTAGCTTACCCCTACTAAGCAGCCTATGTGTGTGACAGAGACAGAGCGAGAACCGACACACTCTATTTCTCTCACTCTGTCTCCTTCACACACATAGACTGCTCAGCAGGAGTAGCTAGCAACTCTTAAATGACAAAGCAGGCGGCTTGCCTCTCGACCCTAGCAGCGAGCGATTCACTCAGAGTGAATCGCTCTTCTGTACATATAAAAACATTCGTTTACAGCGACGTAATTTCTCTGTCCCTTGGATGTCGCTATAAACGGACACCCCTGTACTTTGTGGAATTTCAGTGCAAATTTGACAATCATATCTGAGAAAGATAACATTGTAAATCATTGATATCGTTCTTGCATCATCAGTTTTATTCCAAAGTGGAAAATACTGGATTCTATTTTTAAAAAGATCAACACGATAAGAAAATGTTGATTTTGATTTAAAAGACTGATATCTCGTTACAATATTCAAAATGAAGAAGTTTTTTGAAATAGATTCACCCTGTATGTATTATTTACAGTAAGGCAAATGTAATAAAACTTAATAGGTACATCCTAAAAATATTCACTGTATCATGTATCATTACTTATAATGCAAACATCACAAACGTAAATTACTATTCGTTGACAAACATTAATAAAAATACGACTACGTCGCTGTTTTCTCTCTGATTGATTATTCATCTTGCACGTTTTATACAGCCAAATGCACGGAAAATTTATTTTATTTCATTTTTTGCACCAAATATTTACGACTTTTAACAAAGTCATTTCACGCACTTTAAAATAATTGTTACTGATAAATTTATCAAACGTGCAGTGCTATTACGTGACCTGAAAGAATGTTCATTTGTAGTAGTAATTTTAGACTCATTGTAGAATAATCATTTTACGACCGGGTTTTTTGGAATAGTTTCATAATTCCGACACGATTTATGTACATACACACGGTAAAATATTTATTGTTTATAAAGAAAAGTTGACTATCGAAGGAGGCTAATAAAGCTCTCCTTTGGCAGTCAATAAAAGTATTTACTCAAATAAATAAAATAAAATATTTAATTCTGTACATGACCGCGTAATTTGATTATTTATTATAGTAAAATGTTATTAAATATTTATGCATGCGATCATACTTTTAGAAATACTTAATTACTTGTACAAAATTAAATCGGTAATTTGGTATTTTAAGCATTTTATAGTGTATCATATTCTTACACTTCTATACACATAGTACGATGCCTAATAAGATTGAGCGATCGCACGCATATTTACGTGCCCAAATCAGCGACGATTAACTGTTGTTGAACGTATTGGAACATATTGAGAATAATTTATATGTTAAATTAAAAAGCGAAATATAGGCATGCAAACAACGTACATACGAAAATGCATAGAATTGTTTTACAATCTAATGTTATGTGTACGGTCAAAATCTCTCTTTGGTTAATATTTTAATTTAGAGTAAAAATAATGTAACATTCTGTTACAAAGTGTGGCACTTATTATTTATTTTGTATTTTTCAACATTTACCTATATTTATATATTTTTTCTTGTATAATGCATCATTCGTTCACATTAATTAGATATACCTATTCAACAGTAACGATTGCAAATATTATTCCGTGCGCATAACAATTGCATACAGGTACTGTACTGTGTGCTATACTATTATAAAAACAGTATAAATATGGAGTTTTGATACATACATTTATACAAAATCAACAACGATTGCTAAAGAATCAACAATATTCAATACACCAAATAATACAACAATTCACTAATGATTTACATGATTTTGAGACTATGAAATATCACCCATGACTACTATTTGACGACTTCATAATTTGTTAAATACTATTATTTTAATTCTTAAATGGTTGTGAAAGACTCTTTGGATTTTATTCTAATTTATATCTTCACAGCGAACACGTTTCATTACTTTCAAAATAAAGAGGATTAATCTTCTTTATTTATTACAATATTTTTGTATTACAAAGTCTATCTAAAAATATTCAATGCATGAATCATTTTCAAATAAAAGAATCATAAGATTCTAGTCAACCATTTAAGAATTAATTATATTTACATTGAAACGTACAATTCCTATCTTTGTAGATAAAAATCCAAATTACAAATTACATTTAATAAAATGTGTAAAAATTAAGAGATGCATTTTCTTTGGCTTTACCATTTTGTAGAAATTAGTAAATAAGTTATATGAAAATTATAAACAATTAAATGATACAAAATTTGAGTAGTACTAATTATTTTGCACGATGATAAAATCATTATAAAAAATAAAATTTAAGTTGTGTATAATATAAAAGCATTTTACTGATTAGGTCCTTTGCTCTATCTATGTTTATACATATTTTCATATGTAAAGCTGATTGTGTAAAAATTAAAAGTGTTTACACTTTATTGGTAGTGTATTCATACTTCACAGATATATGATATCTATCTATATTAACTAGACCATGGATATTTATGCAAACTGAGACTCTTACAGATTAACATGCAAATCTGTATTTAAACAGAAATGTATTAATTTTGTTAAAAGTACTACTATTGCAGACCAAAATTAGAATAAATTTTTATTAAATATGATCAAAATATTTATATTCATTTTCACATTCACAAATACTAAAAATAAATGCATAAAGTCCATAGTCTAAAGTCTAAACATAAAGTAAAATACGTCTTTTGTCTTTCTAATTAAGAATGTTCAAAAATACAGATATACACAGTCATGTGTCCATTTTTGTCGTTGTATCTCTTTCTTCGTTGACTTATGGATAATAAAACATAATAGTTTTACGCGTTAATACTTTAAGTATTTAGAGTAATCATAAATATTTAAGCCACATATATTTGCAAATAGAATTAAATAAGTTAAGGATCCGTGTGATATTATATTTACAAGTATCTCTCATAAAATATGATTATCACATACTCTGAAGGATCAGAGTAAATTAATCTATCCTTTCTTTTTCTGAGACTTCAAAAATGCTTTATAAGCTGCTATTTCCTTCTTTTCCTTCCTTAAATTTCTATCTTCATATTCCAACCTGTAATTAAACACTATATCAAAACGTGATAAGACTGTTTTGAATAACTGGGATATGCAAACGTTCTCTGAAAACTGTAGCACTATATTAAAAGAAATGACTCGTAGGTTTCATGCAGAGTATAAAACACATATGCATTTACACGGTCTAAAGACAAACAGAAATATAAGGTGTGTCCATGAAGTTCTTTAGCATAAAATTGCATATCCCATTAATAAAGCATGAACAGATGAATGATAAAAAAAAGCAAAATAAGAAAAACATATTTACTCTAAGGTGAATGAAGAATTACAAAATGCAAAATGACAAGATTCAACGGATGAATGGTTGATCAAGTTCTTAATATTACATGTACTACTCTTGTCCTAGAAGGACAAAATACTGTATGCAATATAATTTTTATGAAATTATATAAGAGTTCAACTCTTCAAACATCATTAACTCAATGAATGATAAAAAAAAAATTTCACATTTTTAAATTTATAACACAATTCCAATTATATCAAAGTTACACAGTATTCTTGCTTTATAATCTAAGTTTATAATTTCAAAAGAGAATTATATTTAATTAAATGTATATTGAGATACAGTATATTATTTATTAAATATATTGTTTGTTTATTTATTTATCGGATATGAATTGCATTTAAAAATAAAAAATATAAGAACTATTGTATAATTCAGAAATATTATGTTCAAGTTTATTACTTATCCTAGTAAGATTATGTTTATACACACTGCATGTAACTTTAATTCCAAGTCAAAGACAGTATCATAACAATAATTGATTAAATATTTTCAATCATGCACGTGATAGAATACATAAAACTGAAATACCTGTGAAGTATAATGCGTTCAACTATTTTTTCTGTTGTCATATCATTGCCACTATCCAACAATTTAAACTTATTTTGCCTTTTTGGTTCAGCATATGGATCTGAACCATCTTCACAAGGCATTATACGAGTCTGGCCATGACAAACAATGGAAACATCAAAATGTTCCATAAGATCTTTTGTAACTTCATATGGTGCCCCAATTACCACCTCATTAACATACTACGAACATGCACAAGAATAGATATTAAAAAAATTGTAAACCACTTATTCTTCGATTACAATATAAAAATAATATTTTACTTTTTACCTTGCATGCCAGAACACTAAGTACCCTTTCATGGAGATTCATAATTGGATGATTACCACCTTTATATCGATTAACTACTGGGTCGGTATGTAATCCAACTATAAGATAGTCACCTTCTTTTTTTGCAACTTCTAAGAAATCTAAATGACCGACATGAAAGAGATCAAATGCTCCTGCTACATAAATTATTTTATCTCCAGGCTGTGGACTTTTTCCATCACTAAACTGTATAATCTTTTGTGTAGTAGGTAAAAACTGAGAACAGCCTGTCCATGGACTTCTCGCTGATCGATCTTGACCCATACTTTTACTAGGTTCTCTATCAACACTGTATTCACTATCTCCTTGTTTAAAATGTTGTCGTGTCATTAGAAGCATACGCCCTACTAAATCAGATGTTGACACACCAGCTGTTCTCTGTACCTCCCTATAATAATCATATTTGTTTAACAATTACTATACACGATTAACTACAGTATACTGTAGACAAGTTCATAACAATTTATGACTTAAGATGTACCTGTAACGATCTGCTGTTTTGACCAAATGATATGTATCTACACCATCTGCTGTCATAGTGATGTCATCACCATGAACACAAAAATCACAATTGTATTTATCTAACGTCTCTAATGTTGTAACATAAGGTGCACCTTCTACCACCTCATCTACCCATTTAATACCACGCACCATTTTATACCTAATACATAAATATTATATTGCAAGGAAATAAGAAATTATATAAATTACTCTAAAAATATAATAATTATCTGCGATATTATTTTAAGCAAGTATTATTAATGTTGTCAAGGAAACATTTTCAGCAATATAACAAAATAGTGAAAACATTATTGTATTCACATTTAAACTTTAGTTTCTTCTTTTCGAGAGAAACATACCTCTCTTCTTCCATAAATACTGGTGGTCCCTTGTGCTTTGTAATTTCTTCATCGGTATGTACACCCACAACTAGATAATCACCTAACGACTTCGCTTGTCGTAAAGAATTAGCGTGGCCGAAATGTACCATGTCGTAACTACATCAGAAAAATAATAGCCAGGGCCTGTTAACTCATTAGAATCGTATGGTCAGCAGTGACTACAGATATAAATAATAATACCACGGATGCCATTGTTCTCGAGAGGTCATGGATTTTGAGTGCCTGAGGACTCTGAGGACCCCAGAGTGGTTTCTATCACCACCAGAGGTGGGTACGTATATTTTACACCATGTCGTAAATGCGTTTATGCATGACGTATATGTACGTATACACAGGGTGGGGAAATAACTATGTCCACTTTGAATATTGCCGCTGTTTGTAATAATATGAAAAAATATTATATACAAAACTTATACGGATAAAGGGGGGCATATTGTGACACAAACATTTTCTGCGTGGGTAAAGGCATAGAGGAGATTTCAAGGTCATCTCTATGTTTTTTAATGGAATACTATGTTCTTTTTTATCGCGATGTGATAACCGGTATTGAGACGACTTCAGCGAGCTATCATTGAAGGTCATGCAAGGTCAAATGTGGTAGTAAAATAAACTTTCTTACATTACAGGAGATGCTCGAAGTGGTGACTGTTTGCATCAATGCAAAGTTGCAATCTTCGTATCGCTGCAAAACGTGCATGTCTTATCGTTTCTGAACTTATTCTAGCACATGCTGTATTATTTCATAGACCCTCAGTTTTACATAAACGAATGATCTTGTATCATTGTTTATGTTGTGGCAATACATCGCGTATAGCTAGAAATGTAAACATCTCATCCGTTCGTAACATTAACATGAATCGGTAGTCAGTCTCGGTCGATTGCTAAGTCAAGTAGCTGCGTGATCATCAAAATGAAGTTTTTTTGTGAAGAGCAAGTGGATATGATCCTCATTTATGGAGAAATGCGATAAAATTCGATAAGAGTTCAATCGTTGTATGCTGAACGATATCCAAACCGTACACATCCTTTGCACCGAACATTTCAAAGATTGTGCAAAAAATAAATAAGTTCAGAATAAAATAAGTAGTAAATAATAATAAAATAAGTTCAGAAACGATAAGACATGCAGGTGATGCAGCGATACGAAGATTGCAACTTTGCATTGATGCAAACAGTCAACACTTCGAGCATCTCCTGTAATTTAAGAAAGTTTATTTTACTACCACATTTGACCTTGCATGACCTTCAATGATAGTTCGCTGAAGTCGTCTCAACACTCCCTTTTCTATTAAAAAAAATAGAGATGACCTTGAAATCTCCTCTATGCCTTCATCCACACAGAAAATGTTTGTGTCACAATATGCCCCCCTCTATACCGTGTAAGGTTTGTATATAACATTTTTTCATATTATTACAAATAACGGCAATATTCAAAGTGGACATAGTTATTATCCCACACTGTATATTTTCAGTTATCTATCAAAGTAATGTAACTTTTTGTTACATTTTGAGGTAATAACGCGATATAAGAATTTTAATACGCACAAACAATTACCTTCTGGTAATATGTAAATTTTTACATATAAATTAATTTACACATGATTTATTTACAATAATTTTCTTTATTGTGACTAGTGAAATAATAAACTACTTGGCAGTTCATGTTCAGATAGTATCTCTTAAATTAAATAAAGTACGAAAATTTTATTTATTATTTATTTCCATTAAACAAACTTTTGCACGTTTAAAAAATGTTAAAATTCATAAATTTAACATAAATTGATTAACATCATTTCAGATATCTAGTTTAAGGTTATACAATTAATAAAAAAATTCTAAGTCAATTCTAAATTAACAAATAAACTATAAATGAAAGAATTCTGAATAAAAATCAAAAGAATATCGAAATAAACGTCGGAAGAATGTAACAATGGAGCAAGAAAAGCAATCCTGTTCTTTAATAGAGATTCATTGCATTGTAGATGCTATGAACATATTTCTATGCGTATCCGTTTATTGTCTCCAAAATATGTAGTAACGAAAAACTAATCCCTTTTTCTTTTTTACTCGTTGCCTTTTTCTACGACCGTAATGTGGACACCAGTAATTCCATTTTGTACTGTACGAGTTAATTAATGTCGTACGATCGGCACCTAACAGAAGGAAGGTATATTCTTACCTCGTCGATGATAATACAAAGGACAGGGGGGTTTTCCAAGTATGCCGGTGGAGAGCTGTCGACCGGTCGCGCTTGCAGGTAGACTTACCTGGATCGCCAAACGCGGCGATCTTTGTACGCCTGTTCCGACCATTCCATCTTTAAAGAACCACCACCATCCATTTGAAACAAACGGATTTTAAAGAAATAGGGTCACAGAATATGAACATATACTTTTCAACTTTTTTCAGACTTGAACCGGGGACAAATTTACAAAACAAAAATATGTTTAATACTGCATTGTAAAAATAACTTTATGTATAATACAAAAAATTAGTTAAAAAACCGAACATTTACGATTAAAACTAAACAATATAAAATTCATATCTTTAATAATTGCGGAGATAAAAATTCTTTTGTGGAGGTAAATTTCGTAGAGACGGTAAAAATTGCCAAATTCCCCCCCCCCCCCCTTT